TCATAGAATTTTATGATAAAACATGAAATTTTACTCATGGTTTGATGCGTCATTTGTTATTTCATGATATTGATAATGAACTTTATTCACTTTTCGCTAATGTTACAACCTTTTTTATTCCTTATCCTGAAATTCTTTCAATATCCTTCACGCAACCATGTAAATATGCACACTATTCACTATGAAATGATTTCAAGACGCACCGGTTTCATAGTGAATCCGTTTCAGCATGTAATTATTTCATGACGAACCGCATACATTATTCACCCGTTTTATTTTGCATTTCAATGTCACCGAAACGGGATTCACCATCAAACCAGTTCACTACTCATTGTTCAATTACGCCATGAGCCAGTTTCACTTTCATGAAACCTGTTTCATGTAAATTAATTTCTTTATTTCGCTCATGATTTGATGAATTCATTCATTTAAGCCTTGCAATCATAAATATTCTGGAGCATATTACAATCTTCAAGATTCTAGAGCAGTTTTTTCATGTACTCGTTTCATCATGTATTATTTCATGACGAACCAAATACATTATGCACCCGTTTCGCTACTCATGTTCAATAACGCCATGAACCAGTTTCACTTTCATGAAACMTATTTCATGTACATTAATTTTCTTATTTCACCCCTGATTTGATGAATTCATTTCTTTAAGCCTTACAATCTTCAAGATTATGGAGCAGATTACAATCTTCAAGATTATGGAGCAGTTACAATCTTCAAGATTCTGGAGCAGATTCATCATGTACCCGTTTCATCATGCAATTATTTCATGATGAACCAAATACATTATGCACCCGTTTCATTTTCCACTTCAGCTACTAAATGGATCAACTACACCATCAATGCAACGGGTTCACCATGAAAATGTTTCACTACTCATTTTTTATTTGAGACATGAACCAGTTTCACCTTCATGAAACATGTTTCATTTGTATTAATTCTTTTTGTCCAACTATAATTTGATGAATTCATTACATTATGGCTTACAATTTTCAAAATTCACCAGCAGATTCAATTGCATCACAATATATTTAGTTCAAATTTTAAATATTAAAATATAATTAAATATTTAAATGTTACCATTTATAAAATTTCCTTAATTACATTTCCTTAATTAAGATTTATTAATAATTTCCATATTTAATAGAAAATATTGTAAATGACCGAAATACCCTTATTGATTAAATTTAATTAGAAAAAAATGGAATTTTTCTATTGATCGAAATTAGTTTACACGGTTTCTTAGAAATGCACGGTTTTCATTTGAATGTACCCCTATATATTTATATATCAGTACCGAAGTAAATGTGGTGAGAGAGAATGAGGATGAAGAGAAAAGAGTTTAGAATGAGAAAGAAACAAAAGGAGGTAAAAATGGGGCATTTTTATTCGGCTGTTTTGTCTCCCCTTCACTGGTGTGTGAAAGCTTCTCTCATTGGCGCGAAGAAAGCTGTATGTAGTTGCAGACCCACTTTCTGCTCGCCTTCACTGGCGTGAGGCTTCCTTCATGCCCATGAAGAAAGTTGTCCAGATTATGAGTTTTTCTTAAATATTCATCACCAATATAAATCAATTCAAGACATCAACTAAGGTTTATTCTAAGATCAAATATGCATTTAAAACCTGAAAATATACATACAAATGTTATGGATACATTATTATTTATGAAACAAAATAAATATATAACTTTAACTTTACTTAATTTACAAATATATTTTTAAAATTTATTAGGTTTGTTTTTTGATGACTAAATATTAAGTTATAATATTAGTAATATTTTTAGATAACAATAATTAATACTAATGGATTATTTACGATTAAAATTAATTAATAAATTGAAATTAATATTAATTAATAATTAAAGTTAATTAATATTAATTCATAAATTGTAATTAATATTAATTAATAAATTGAACTATTAATTATTAACTAAAATTAATTAATAAAATGGAATTAATATTAACTAGTAATTAATATTTATTAATAAAAAATAACAATTAAGATCAACGAGGGTATAGTTGAAAAAGGTGTTAACGAGCTACTAAAAAACTACTTCAACTAATGTTTCAATAAGCTAGCTTATGTTAATACAAACGTCTACTTAACAAAATAAGTTTAGCCGAATTTTAGAAAGATTTTTATTATTCAATAATAGACTGCCTTGAAGGAAAACGACAGACATATTTATTATGTATAAGAAAAAATTAAATTAACAAGAGAAAAATGACATGAATCTAGACCGGCTAGAAAACGAATTAAACTAATTAACATACTCGTCAGATGACATGACGTGCAGGTGATTAGCCATGCAACTTTGGTCACATGGTTGGTTGCGTCATAGCGTTCGTAGCTTTTCTTCAAACTCTAGAGTGTTACCAAAGCCAGAGAAAGTGTGCGGGCGAACCCAGCCGTAGGTCTAGTTGCGGGGCTCTTGTTCCTCTCTTTCGATGCGAGAAAAAGTCGGGTTTCTTTTGGGCCCTTTTCCTTTTCAACAATTGGTCCGTCGAAAATACCGTTAAGCCTCGGATTTGTTCGACATAAAAGTTTGAAGGAGCCAACAATAGACTCGGTCAAGTCCCACAAACAAATAACAATACATTCAATCATATCGTAACTCTTGTTGGCGACCAAAACACATGGACTTGATTGTTACAATGAGATCGGTTTCATGAAGCTTCAATGGCCGACCAAGCATGGATGCAACGAGAAAAGAATGGCAAAAGGTGTTCACCTTTTAGACCCCAAACCTCTAGGAACTGTATTTTCTTTAAATAGAAACCCATGTGATGTGATAATATGCAATTTGGCAATCCAAAATTTCTTGAAATACATCAAAACTAACCTGCAAAACCCCACGCAAACCATCAACTTTCAATTCTTCTGGTTTAATCTTTCTGATTTTTCTAACCAAAATCTAATACTCATACAATGCAAATAATGAAGCTCAAGAAATACATCAACGGCATGCTACCAAACATACAAACAACTCCTAATTCTAACTATTATTTCTCACACAATTAACCCTACCCAACTCCATATCCACAAGCTGTCTTCCCTCCATCGTCCTGCTTCTCCCTTCTCATCTCCATAATCTTCCTGTGTGAATTTGAATGCAGCACGCTTGAATAAGTCGGGCTGCTTGCCGGCCGGTACTCTGGCACCAGCCTGCCCGACTTATACCGGACCCCACATGCATTGCACAGAGTTTTGGGGCCCATTGGACCCGCTCGCCATTGTGGGGTTTTCTCCGCTAAGCAATGTTGGCACCTTCTACCAATGCCGGTGGCGCTCGCGGTGACGGCAGTTGGCGGTGACGGTGGCGAAAACCGGGACGGTGGAGGTGGCGGTTCTTGTTTTTTCAGGTTTACTTGGTTCCACCACCAGCATTGCTGGTTTGGTAACTCCGGGAAACCTCTTCGCCTTCTGCGCCTACGCTTGGATCGTTTTCGGACCGGATAACTAATCGGAATCTGAAGGCTGCCACAGCAGTTTGTAATGGTGCTATTGCTGTTGCTCATGTTGCTGCTGCTGGAGCTGTTCTCAAGAACCGAAACCGGGCTCTGGTGATCAACAACGATTACGGTCGGGTTTGAGAGGAGGTCAAAACAGGTCTCAACAGCTGGAAATGCATCTTTGTTTGACAGCCACTCAAGGTCTTCCTCTGCAAATTCCTGGACAGGAAGGAAAACATGACTGAGTCTAACAAAGTCCGTTACACCGAGTAACTCGACAAGCTCACATCTTTTTTTAAAATTTCCCACATTGGTGCTCAAAGATTTCTTCTTTATTTGAAACGAACAAGTGGGTAGTCGTATCAAGCTCCATCTAATACACCGAGTTAACTCAACAAGCTCAGAGTCTTTTTTGTAAATTTCCCACATCGGTGCTCAAAGATTTCAACTTTGTTTGTAACAACAGGTGGGTAGTTGTGCTAAGCTCCATCTAACACACCGAGTTAACCCAACAAGCCCACGTCCTTTTTGTAAATTTCCCACACTGGTGCTCAAAGATTTCAACTTTATTTGAAACGAACAAGTGCTTAGTGTTGCTAAGCTCATCTAATACACCGAGTTAACTCAACAAGCCCACGTCTTTTTTGTAAATTTCCCACATTGGTGTTCAAATATTTCAACTTCATTTGACACGAACAAGTGGGTAGCTGTGCTAAACTCCATCTACTACACGGAGTTGACTCAACAAGCTCACGTCTTTTTTGAAAATTTTCCGCATTGGTGCTCAAAGATTTCTACTTTATTTGAAATGCACAAGTGGGTAGTTGTTATTTGGCTTTAGTAGGACTTAATGTGAAGTATGAAGCAGGATTAGACAAATGACAATACAAGTAGTGGAGCCCGAGTCAAACCAACTCGGCCTCTTTTGTCCCTTCATTTCTTCCAAAGATTGGGGTGACTGTTTATAATAGTTAACATCGCTCCTATTTCTGAGTTCCGAGTCAACACCATTCAACTCGGGACTCGACAACTCGCATACTCAACCGATTCTACTCATTTACCCAACCGAGTGAGAAGGATTTTCGCCGGAACAAGAACCGGAATCCCTGTGTTCGTCCGGTTCAAGGCAAAATACGACTGGGTTTTGGTCGAATGAAAAAGTAAAGCTTTATTAACTTACAGGAAACGAACGGCTCCAATCATCTGGGTCTTGACTGTTAGGTTTTGAAAAATTCAAGGAAGAAGAAAGGGGTTTGGTGGTGTTGTGTTCTTCGTCTAAGTCGTCATCTTCGCCATCCAAAGAAAAGTTGAGAATGTCGTCATCAATCATCAGACATGAAGTTGGGTCCAAAGCCATATCCAGTCAGAGGAGGAAAACACGAAGAAATCTCCAAAGGGTTTTGTTTGGTATTCGTCAATAGGGAGAGGAAGACATGAGGAGGAGAAGGAGGCGGATTCTTGGCTTAAATTATCAACATTGTAGTGTTTGAGGGTTTTTGGATGGCAAGGAAAGGATGTCGATTTTTGGCTGCTAGCCCTTATCTTCTGTTTATTAAACTTTCACCCCTTCAAATTTTGAAACCCTTGCACTTTACTCTTGTGAGACTTCAATTTGTTCCATCTAATAACCTTTTACTTTACTAAATTCCAACATGCCATTTTACAAATTAGAATGAAGTAGTACACAAGCCAATGGTGGGGTCGGGCAAGAAGGAATGAATCGTAAACCAAACTCGGGAAGATTGAAAAGTTGGAAGAAGAAACGCTGGTTATAAGAATGAGTGATTGTCCTTCTCTAACCAAAATCTCATCAATCGAATCACTTTTTCAAGAAATACGAGACAGTAAATCATAAAAGTAGGTCTTAAGGTAGGATATACGTACACATTTCTTTTATCTCAAAAGTGTAAAGAAGCTTATTTTCATGAATGCCTCTAACTTGTAAAATAAAATAAAAAAATATTGATATCTTTTCCTTCAGAGAGAAGAGCGGAATACAAAGAAGTTATCTCTCGTAGTAACAAAAACATATATATTTTTAATTAAATTATCTTTTTATAAAAAACAAAATAAATGTATTTTTAACATATTTTAAGACATTATTACATACAAATCCTATGAAATATCAACCATCTTCATAAGATTTCAAAATCCTATGTTTGTAGGATTTCAATAAAATTTCACTATTTCAAATTCATAAAAATGTTCAAACCAAACATGGGATTGAAATGGAATTACCTTCAAATCCTTATAAATCAAATGCAATCCTGTAAATAAAACGGGACCTATTGTTTATCTATACTATATTATAAAGCATTTGACAAAAACTCTTAAAAACAATTTTTTATGCATAAAGTATTGTTTATTAATGCATATTACTTACAATTCAAGATTACAAATAGAATGTGCATCAGTATATCATATTAAAATTTCATGATTGAATTTGTGTAACTAACTATAGATAAACATAATCAAATACATGATAAACATCATTTTAAATATAAAAATTCTAAAATATAATTAAGAAAATCATTGCGTTCTAACAGAATACTTATTTATTATCTTACAAAAATTATTTTATTAAACCAAAAATATATTAGTTCGTTTTTAAACTTCAATTAGATCATAATAAAAATTTGAATTAAAGAAATTACACAAAAACGAAACATTTTAAATAGTTAATTTAATATTAATATCGATTTTATTTTCAAAATTTTATAATATCTTCAAATTTATATTTCATTCCAAAATAAAAACATTTTATTTTTCTCAAAACCACATAAAATTGTATTATAACATCGATAGAGCCAAAAATATAAAACAAAACATTAAAATCAAGATGTATCTCGCTGCATTACACGAATACTCTTCTAGTCTTAATAAGACTAAGATTTTAAGAACGTTTAAGATTCATTATCCTAAGTATAAACAAGAATTGATCTACATATATGATTTCGATCGTTTTTGTCTAATTTCATTTCACAAGTTGATGCTAAAAAACGAATAAAATTTGCACGATAAATAAAATACTTAGGTAGCGTTTGATTTACATAAATCTGATGGAATTGAAATGCTCAATTTTATGAACAAAGTTAATTCCACTCATGTTTGTTGGTTCATTCTATGAATTTTTTATATGGAATTTGGATTCTACATATGATACAATTTAAATTCCTTGGATTTTAACAAGGAATTCGAATTCCATTTCAGCAAATCTTTCAAGAAAGATTATTTTGTCTTGTAGTTACTCTAATCAATTTCATCCCAGTATGATGATCGTCACCACCACGACCACTACCACCTCCACCTCCATTCATCATTATCGCCACTACTATCACCATACCATCATCACCACAATCACAACCACCACCAGCATTGCCACATCGTCGCCTCCACCGCCGCTGCCACCACACCAATACCACCAGCGCCACTACCACTGACACTAACACTAACACCAACACCACCACCACCCTTGTCGCACCGCCACCTCCACCACCATCAATTAATACTATTATAATTAATTTTATCATTATGTAAATATTTATTAATTAAGCAATAAAAATATGAAAATATCATGGAGGGGTATTTTGGTAGTATACTATTTTAATATACTTATGAAGTTATATTTAGAGAAGTAAACAAATAGATTCTAATTTTTTTGACATATTCAATTCTAATCCATGCTAATCAAACACATGGTCAAACCTAATTAATTCTTTTAACAAATTTCATTTCGTTAATCAACACCACCTTATGTTATTTCGAACTAAAAATTTAAATGACATATGTATACCATCCATAATCATATGGCATCAAATTTTGAATTTGAAGGCACAATCTGAGTGGGACTACATGCACAAAGGAAAGTTGAAATTTAAAGGGTAAATAATGTAATTCTGTTATTGATAAGGGTGTAAAATGCAATATCAAGGAACCTTAGGGATGAAAAAATGAAATAAAGAAGAAAGGCACGGGCCGCCTACGCTAACAGCATGCTTCGATGACTACAATGATGTTTCCAACAGGGTGCGACTAGCATGTCATGTACCCAATCACAAGTGAACACGTTACATTTATTCCTTTTAAATTTGACATATTACATCTTACGTGACCGCTATGAATATCGTGGTCCGCTATTCTTTAAAAATACTTATTCGGCTCACCAGAACATTTTTTTAAGAGGTCATTTATTAAATGCTTGTTTGATAAGTGTTTATCAGATAAATTTTTTTATCGGATAAATATGACAAGGGCCAAAAATCTTACCAGATAAGAGTGATTAGAATGATGTAAAGTCTTATTCGGTAAATTGTTGCATTCGATACTTTTTGATATACTAAAATCTTACGTATCAAGGTAAATTATAATGTTGACTCTTATAAATAAGCATTTAACGGATAAAAATTTGCGTAAACAACCCCTAAATCATTGTTATCATTTTGGGTTGGATCGCAACACTTGGGGGTGTTTGGGATTTGCTTATTTGAAACAACTTATATTTCTCTACAAAATCACTTATCAACTTATTATAAGTCAGAATAATTTAACTTATTCAAAAACTTTTTATTACCGGTTTGGCACCGGTATAAGTTGTTTATCCAAACACTCAAAAATATTTATTACCGGTGTCACACCGGAATAAGTCAATAAATTGTTTTTATAAGCAATCCCAAACACCTCCAACCTTGACCAAATTTTCGATTTTATGAGATTACATATTTGAATAATTTTTTGAAAGGGAAAATTGCACCAAAATGGAACCAACTTTCACTTAATTCCTATTTTGGGGAACCAACTTTCAAAATCGTCATTTTGGGGAACCAACTTGCACCTGATTCCTATTTTGGGGAACCAACTTTCAAAATCGTCATTTTAGGAAACCAATTTGCACCTGATTCCTATTTTGGGGAACCAACTTGCACCTGATTCCTATTTTGGGGAACCAACTTTCAAAATCGTCATTTTARGRAACCAAYTTGCACCTGATTCCTATTTTGGGGAACCAATTTGCAAAATAATTATATAAAAATATCTAAAATTCGTTTTTTTCCAAAAATTAATGCAATAAAATCTATTTTTCATTTCAAATATCTTTTTTTTAATTCAGATATCAAATTGAATATTTTTAAAAAAAAAAATTCAAATTACTACAGTAAAAATTGTTTTTTACTAATGCAAAAAAATAATTTAATATAAAAAAATAATTGATACAATAAAAAATAAATATTAAATATCACATTCAAGATTTTTATATCTAACTAATTGCATCAATTAATTTTTTTCTATTAAATTGATTTTTTTTTGCATTAGTAAAAAAATAATTTTTATTGTGGTAATTTGGATTTTTTTAAATGTTCAATTTGATATCTGAATTAAAAAAATGAGATTTAAAATGAAAAATAGATTTTATTGCATTAATTTTTGGAAAAAAAAAGAATTTTAGTTATTTTTCTATAATTATTTTGCAAGTTGGTTCCCCAAAATAGGAATCAGGTGCAAGTTGGTTCCCAAAATGACGATTTTGAAAGTTGGTTCCCCAAATTAAGAATCAAGTGAAAGTTGGTTTCCCAAAATGACGATTTTGAAAGTTGGTTCTCTAAAATAGGAATCAGGTGCAAGTTTGTTCTCCAAAATGACAATTTTGAAAGTTGGTTCCACAAAATAGGAATTAGATGAAAGTTGATTCCATTTTAATGCAATTTTCTCTTTTTGAAATAAATAAATAACTATATTTTTTTTAAAACCGATTAAATAAATTATTTTGATCTATAATAACGTTAAAGTCCATTCTTTAACCCAAGATTAACTGTGAAATAGTTTAATTTTTTATAGAAAGTTTAGTATAATCTCCCCTCGCCCTCTCGTTTCTTTCTCGCTCTCACGAACCCACGACAACCCAAACCCCACCCACACCCCACAACCATCTCCGAGACTCCATCCCCCATTGACTAGCCACCATTCTCTATGGTCTCTTCCATCCTTAAATTACCATCTTTCTCCTTTCCTCATCGATGAACTCTCGTTCCCTTCCTAATCTCCGATTAAGAGTGTAAAACCCCAAAAAAATTGGACAACAAAAATTTCCAAAAAAGACGGAAATGTGGTGTATAAATATCAAGAATACACGCCTTCCACAAAAGGGAATATAAATATGTCTATTAAGTTACATTTTTTTAACAATAGGTTATGAGGATAACAGCCTCTCAATCTAATTCCATAAAGAAAGAAGATGACAAATGAAATAAATAAAGAGCGACTCTTACGCCTATGGATCTAATGAATTACAACCTAAATTACATGATGCCAAATGAATGACCAACATTCAAACTATGTAATTTTATAAACAAATGTGTCATAATTGCATATAACTCCAAAAACTCGACATAGAGCAATTTAAACCGGACAAATGTCTCCAAGACTCAAATAAGTCAAAATCGAGACAAAAGTTCAACAACTCAATTGACTATTAAAATTAAAGTCATCAAAAACAATAAAACGTGTTTAACCAGAG